CTCTATTTCCCATGGCTCTTGACCTCCAGCTGAAAAGATAAATATAATCTCCTTAACCTATCAGGATTACAGATGAAAACCAGTGTGTATGAATTGCCAATTTATTCCTCAGCAGGTTATCCAAAAACGTTTAATCATTATTCCTACATTATCAGCGGTCTATGAGGTTAGAGGGCCAACTCCTACATAAATTACAGTACTTTCTTAATGATAAAAAAACATAACACAAAACTGAGGACAGAAATTGGAAGAAATGGAGGAAAAGTGAGAACATCCGAGAGTTTTATTTGAAGCTGCAAACACAAAATTACTGCATGCATGTTTGTAGGTGTGTGTACGTGATGCAGGAGTATGCTGTCTGGCTATGTGGAGGTGTCTAGTCTGTGTGGGAGTCTTTGTGTGCACGCATTTACACTCATAGCATCTCAATGACATCAAAGCGCTGTGCAAACTGAGCCCCTGGCAGCTCTTTAGAATCCCATCTCCCTTCTCTGTTTAAAGCAGGGGGGAGAGAAAGGACTCAAACTAATAAAAGAGGTGTTATTCAAAAGAGGAATAGACTGCTCAAATGTGTCACGTCTGTAAGCACAAATCAGAGACTGATAGAGATAAAGAAGAAACGAAAGGAAAACTAACCAAAAAAAGAAATTAAAAAGAAAGAGCAAAGGTGACAAAGGGAAGCACAAGAGTGCAGGGTTTTCCCGAAAGCCTAACATTATCTCACAACTTTTCCGTTTTTCAATTTGTCCTTATGATGTTGACGCAAATTGTGAAGTGACTGTTTTTATAACAACACAAAGAGCTGTCCGGCTATCTAAAGCCATGGAAATTCTTTTTCCTGTCAATGGATTTGAATGGTTTAAGAAGAAAAAGGGTAAAAAGAGACCAGGAAAAATATTTTATTTGTTAAAAATCATGCAGTATTATTTTCTCCATTTGGCAGACAATTGACCCAGTGCTTTCAATTTGTATGTTTTTATGCGTGAATGCAGTGTGACACATAGTTTAGGCTATGTAGCAGCCAGTCTGTACACAAATCAAATTTCCTTTGGGACAATAAAGTTAATCTTATCTTATCTTAATTTTCACAGCACCTCCAATAGATTTAGGTTTTATTTAATTCCAGCTGATCCAGCTGATTCATTTGTAATAAAAAGGTGGTGTAGAGGTTTTGATTCAGATGATTTTACCCTCTTGTAAGAAAAAGCAAATCTAAAATATAAAAAATGAAAAACATCCTGAATGAAGTAATGCAGGAATGCCAAACTAAAGGTGACCTAACTGTAGAACCATGCAAAAAAGTATTGTATGTATCTCGTGATTCTGTAGCGTTGCTGGACCCAAAGGTTTTGCGGGATAAAACCAGAAAAACAAATATTATTTTAATTTTACATCTTGTTGTTGTTGCCAGGCTACAAGTACATTCCCACTATTAAATTATTGTAGCAGCTGTTAACAACATGTCTCTCTGATATTTTCTTAATTAATATACATACAGATTAGATTCATTTTAACTGAATCGATTTCGATTTACTTCCAAAAAGCAGGGAACTGTCACTTACTTCCATTTGATTTTAAAAACTGCAAAAGGTGACATAATTGTTTGTATGTTCATGCAAATAAGCTCATGCTTTAGTATTTTATTAGAGACAAAGGTTTCTGAAATAAACAAACAAACGTTTCTGTATCTTGTCTAGATGCTAATAGATCACCGCAATGCATTGGTTTTATTATTAGTATCAGGTTATTTTCTATATTTATAACTGTTTGTTGTCCAGTTAATTTAAATGCAGATGTGTCATGCTGTACTGGCTGAGGTAATTTTATTTTTTGAATTATTTTTCAGAACTTTTCTTTTTTCAGAAGGACTGGACCCCAAAGTTATGAAAGCACTGTTACTGTTTTCTGAACACATTGGCCACTTCTGCAAATTTCTAAATCTATTTTCCCCACTCTTACTCTTTAAACTTGAATAGAGCATTAAATATTTAATTGGTGCTGTAATATTTCTTTGCAAAAGCTGTCTTGAAATGTAGTGTTTTAGATAAGCAAGGCAGCAGATAGAGGATGGGCTGCAGAGGAAACACTGCAGGTCAATAGATGCTGTAAAATAAAATAGTTTGTACAGGGGAAATAAATACAGCCGTGAGTGGAAGATTCATCTGCTCAAATAAACTGGGCCTTTTGAATTTTTAATTGGAGCAGCCCTAATTATGGCCATCAGACAGTACTTCTAAACGCACTGAGTGCACTTTCTCCCCATCCCTCTTTTACCCCCTTCTTCAGTTTGGCTGCGGACGAAGCCTCAGTCCGGGTGTATTTTTCCATGCCATTAATATTTGATTAAAATGGGCCAGGCTGCATCAGCTGCTCATCGCCACTAAGAACATGGCCTCCATTATGAGCCCCGTGCTTCCTTTCAGTCGTGTGCATTAGCGGGATGACAGAGCGCAACAGAAAGCGCAGACGAATGAGATGTGCAAACTCATGTTCACACACGATGTTGTGTGTGTGTGTGTGCGAGAGAGCTAGCTCGTCAACTACCCCTGTCAATTGATGCTATTAGATGTTGAGAAACAGTTGGGTGGGAGCTATAATTGAGCTGACACTAATAATGAAAGCAGATACTGTCTGGAAGCCCTTGGCAATATGCTAAAGATATTGATGCCTCTAATAATTCAGGAACTCGAAAGAGTGAGGAAGGATTTTTTTTTTTCACCTTCAGATCTTTCTCTGGAAAAAAACAAGGAAATAAGATATAAACCTCTTTTAGATGTGCTGCAGATTAATCTATAAAAGCTTTTTTTTTTGCTGCAGTAATATGTCATTAGCAAGCGCTGATAAATGCAGGCGGAAGCACAGACAACATGTCTGACAGCATTGCAGAGTTTGTTGGAGAAAGCTGATCATTTTACTAGTTAGCAGTGGTGTGCTAACATGCCAGTCCCTTTTGGTTTGACAGCACAGGTGGTTGGCCTCTCAACACATATGTTCCCACATATTTTCTGTCCATGTTATCATTCACTGGGGATTGTAGCAGACCAATGTTGAGGATTGTAAGTTTGTGTTAAGCTATGGTCAAGGACTTCCATAATGACCAGCTCAACCTTGTGACTCCTGTCACAGAGTCGGGTCCCTTGAGGTGGCTGCATGTTTGTGTGTGTAAGGATGTGGGGACAAGGGGGGGGGGGGGGCTAGCTGACCCCTGAAAACTGCAGCTGAGGTAGATCATTTAAAGGCAACCCTGTCTAAAATATATGCTCTAATCCGATTTTTAGATATCAGCCCTGCAACAAAAATAAAGCGTAACAGTGTCTTTTTTTGATACAATATTAAATCATTCAATAATTTTTATAAATCTACATCTTGTTTTGGATTTTCTTATTAATCATTTTGAATATGTCAAACAGCAGAACCCAAAAGGCATTTAAAGGGTGATATTAATTTTTGGCAAGTTTGATTTGAAGAGGCCTTTAGATATTAGGTAATTTTGAGTTGCAGCTCAGTGATGATGCCTAATGGAAAGAGACTGGGGTAAGTAGAGTAGAAAGCTCCTGTCATTTCAAGCTCCCAGCTTGTTTGATTAACATCAAATTTTAATTTTTCCTTCAGACTTGCGGCTGAAAGGTTGTTCTGGCCATGCTGCACACAGCTCCCATCTCTCTGAGTTTGTTGGTTGTGAGGCTAACGCAAACCGACAAAAAGGATAGGATATAACTTGTGAGAGTGTGGAAAACAGAGAGACGCTAGCGCAGGAAATCCAAATGAATTCTACTAATTTCATTAGTATTTTATCTTGATTACAAAACATGCTACTTCAATAAATTTCACATTTGGGATTTCAATCTGTTACACAAAACAGCTGCATTATCATTAAAATAAATCTCTACCTTCTCCCTTAATTATTATCAGTAGAAAAAAAAGATGCATCTGTACAAGTAAAAATAAAATCACCACCAGGGGAAATTTTAAACTTAATTACTTCAAAGGCTTCCTCAAGACAACAGCACAAAGCAACATGAGTTCAGGACCCTCAAACAACTCTAAATGGGCTGGAGTCCCAACATGAAGGCTGGAATATTTTCCTAATTGGATGATGGAAATCACACGGGCCTTTTGTTCAGCTTGGTGCAGCGGGAACACACCACACGCATCTTCTCTGGGTTTCATTTGCATATTCATTGATATATCAATTATTTATTCCTCACTACAATCACTCGCTACACTGGTACTGTACACGCCTGCATGAAATTATATTATAAAGTTTTACTGAATAATGCTTTATATTGTGAATCAATCTATATAACAGCAGAATATTTTTAGATTACAAAATATAGAATAATAAAAGTAACATAGATGATATACATCTAAATTATATATTAAAGTTGAAGGTTTAATAAAAAGATTGCTAATGAAGTAAAATTATTTAAAGGAAATTAATTTTCAGGTGTAAAATACATATTGTTTTGCTTTTGATTGCTGAAAAAAAATCTCTTTCTGTTAATATTTATGGAGCATTAACAATTTACCAGAATATGTTTTCCTGTGGCTTTTTCTTTGTTGTTAACACTCACACAGATCTTCAGCTCTTTACGACTGAGCTGTTCTCCCTCAGCATGCATTAAATGAATGTTGATATCATGTAAGAATACGACACAGTGTCATAAAACCTCTCAAACAGTAGCCTCATACTCCTCCAGACACATTCCTGTCCACACAGCACTGCCCTCAAAACTGTTTTTCTTCTCATATTGTTATTATCATCATTACTGTAGGAAAAACATGATGATTAATCAGAATATAATTTCAGCACTGAGGCACAACCGACTATTACAGCTGCACCTCAACCAAATGTGACCTGAGGAAAAAAAAAAAAAAATCATGGCCTCACCAGCCAATACACTTTCTCCTTCAACTCACACACACACACTTTCACACACAAGCACACATTCTGAGCAACAATTTCCAAGCCGTAGCATGGAATAGATGGCCGCACTTACTTTAAATGTCCCGTGAAGAAAAGTTTTCTGATTTTTTTTCCTCCACCTCCCTCACTCCAACTCCACTGTTTCGACGAAGCTGAGATCGGAGCTCAGGGAGAGTGTGCCTGCCATCGGTACCCATCTGTTAGCCTCTCTTATCAGATATCTATCATAAAAAAAAAAGCCATGTAGATCCATGTGATTTTTGTACATTTTTCCCCCTGTATGGTCCTCTACCTTGCACGGATGCAGACTGTGCTCTCTGTGCATCTGGTTGCACAAGCACAATCAATATGGAAGGGGAGAGCTATTTTATGATTGGAGAAGTTGTTGTGTTTTTGGTGGTGAAATTCATTATTTAGTATCTGAACCTTCAGCAATTCAGTATCATTTATTCATAAAGTCCCTTTTTGCCAGGAGGAAATGGATACAGCTGCAGCAACCAAGAGAGAGAGGGAGAGGGGGAGAAAAGAGGGAGAGAGAGAGAAGAAAAGAAAGGGAATGATGGGGAGAGATGAAGAGAGAGAACATGTGTGTCTGGGGGGGGGGGTGCAAGTAGGGGTGGTGGATGGATTGATGATATTGATCAGGCTGCTCTTGAAATAAAGGCTTAACTTTTTTTTCAAGCTCTTTTGATTGACAGATAAAGAGACGAGTTGGCTGGGAGGAGGAGCGGGCCTTGAACATCACATGGTAGCACTGAGCGATTAAAGCGGCTCCTCTGACAAGCACAAGCAAGTCGGGTTCGAGCAGACTACAGAGGCAGAGGGGTTGGTTTGTGAGGAATCACTCGAAATGATGTTTGTTTACTTTGCAAAATCACAGGAGAAAGAAGGCAGAGGGGAAGAGTTTTAAAGTGCTGGAGCTGTGTATGTGCCTGATACATCTGGCTTTGTAAATTTCTTCCAAAGAAACTGCTGCTATGGACTCTACACATGCTGACTAATGTTGAATTGCCTGCTCTATCCATTGAAACATGGGGAAAACTGCAGCAAAAACAGGAATATGTAAAAAAAAAAAAAAAAAAAAATGGAGCCATGTAAGTTAGAAACTGTTGTGTGAAGCACACAATGAAAGCAGAGGAGATGCATGGAATCACTTAGCATACAGCGTTTTACCGTCCCTTTTCTCTGACAAGGAAATCTTTCTGCACCCACAGAAAAAAGGGGAAAACATTTTTTCCATTGTCTGTTTTGTATTCTGTTCTGAATAAAAGCAATTTAAGAGTCGCTCCAGCTCTTGAATTATTTAGACACAACTTAGTGGAAACGCTACCAACAGAAATTGATGATATCCATCTCAGTCAGGCAGTAAAGAATGAGCTGCACCTGTAGCTGCCATGGCCTTTGGCTGCCAAAACTTCCTGTTTGGTGGATTGGTTTTGTGGGTTTGCATCATGCATGTTTGCATCATTAGCAGGTTATTTAAGATCAAAATGCAGAAGAAAAAAAAAAGATAAACATTTGTAAGAATATAAAGAAAATTGTTGCCTTTAAAGTATTAAAGACAGATTATTCTACTATATCAATGTAAAGCAATGGTGATGACCTGGTTATAGATAAGAACAATATATAATACAGCAGTATTTAGTGACACCTCTTACAGAAGGCTAATCATCTTTAAAAACCTGCACAATTCCTGTGTCGGTGAATATTAAGCTATAGTTTTAGAAGAACACATTTTATAAAACTGAAAAAAAAAACAAACAATTGCTGCAGTTTTACAACACATGTACCATCTACAAGAAAAACAAAGAACCTTCTTTGTGTAAAAGCTTTTCATTCGAAATAAAACCATAAATAGCAAATCAGAGAATCTCATGTAGTCCAGTTTAATAACTATTGTGTTGCTACTTTTTTGAACATTTCTTTCAGTCTGCTGGGCCAACAAATAAGTGAAGTGTCGTCACATTTGTGAATATTCCTTCTGGGTGTCGTAAAGCCCTGAGAACAGTATTGTATTTATGTACTTTGAGCAGGAGCCTGAATGCTGGAAATATTTTGACTGTGAGACTCTATGGTTTTCATTTTCCTGAAACGACGGGTAATTTCAGTATTTCAGTCTAAGTGAACAACACAAACTGCTCCTACTGGGGGCAGTTTGAGACAAATATAGACGAGGACAGAGCTGAGTGCAGATTTTTATTTTTTTATTTATATGTCAACCTAAACTGTTATAAGATTCAGAAAACAAAAACTTTTCTTTTCAAAATGCAATTTCAGTAAGTTTCTTTACCGAACAACAGCAAAAAAATCCTTATGTTAAGAAATAATGCTTTTTTGTTGTTGCTATTTTTTAGGGAAAAAAAACAAAAGAAAAAAAACTATCTCCCTGGCATGATAAATATTGATATTCCCAACATTACTAAATATGGCTTAAAGCCATATTTAGGTAAGGTAAGCCATATTCAAAAAAGGCAGATGTGACTTGAATAGAAATTATCTCTTTAGGCCCCCCTGGACTTAATTGTCACACAAAATAAAAGATATTTTTTTGGAAAAAAGCTTCAGAGATATTCATTTGAATTATAATATGTGTTGCATCTGATAAGGCTTAGAAGGTGACAAAAAGGCTTTTGCAGCATTTGATTGCCGCCGAGAAGGTAATGCAAACAATGGGTTGTGCTTGAGTAGAGACACATCTAAAACATGAAAGGCAGGGGATTTGAGAAACCCTGCTTTAGACCACACTTTGGAAACCTCCGGTCTGGATCTCTGTACCAGCCTTACCTCTGCACAGCACTAAGGATCTTTTGGCACAAAACCATAAGACAAGGCATATCTTTAAACTAAAAACTAAACTAAACTAAAAAAAACAGGTGGCAAAATTGACATTCAAACCAGAGTGCCTTGCATTACAGTCAAATATTTAAAACACTACACATTTACAGACAGAATGTATGCAATATAATCTACTATGCAGAAAACAGTGAATTAGAAACGTTTCACGGTTGCCCTTTGTTAATTCCTTTCATCTGTTTTTAATACCTTTTTAAGTCTTCCAGGTTACTTTGGATGTACTCTACTGACAGTATTTTACCCTCCAACCTTAAAGTAGAACATGTGAACTCCAAACAGTAAGTTTTAGATTAGGATAATTTAATATAATTTGTAAGTATTGGATCTAAACAGTCCAGTACCTACAGTACATGATGGTCTTAAAAAAACACAATCATACATTTTGGATTTTAATATTTAAGGTTGGCCATTTCCAATTCCTTATGTATCATTTTTAGGTACAATGAATGGTTAATAGAATTAAACTAATGGTTGTTTTTTTTTTTTTGGGGAGTTTAGGAATCGAGTATGAAAATTAACTTTGTTTGTTCTACTTTATTTGCATTTTTAACAGAATCCCTTCCTTCCTCTTAACATTTTAAAAGGTTTTTCTTTGCAGCTTGAGATCCACTTGATAAATGGTTATTGTTGAACAAGAGCAAAATATGTATTGATCAAGAGTCATGATATAGTAGATTAATAGAGCTGCCATTGTTTTTTTTTCCTAGTGTGTCTGCATTTTGATGCTCATGGGAGTCTACCGTCTTCTTCTGACGTTATGGATGCAGAACAGATCAGACAATAAGCTAAATAAAGAGGTTGTATTAGACCAGCTATTACCTCACATGGCTGAAATGATTTATTGTATCCCATTGAAGGTAAGAGCTTTCTAAGTGCCATGTGATTAGATTACGAATTTCAGTTTCCCAATAATGTAGCCGCAAACTGAAACACCACTTCTCTTCTTGTAAACTTTCATAAGAACAGTTAAGTTATTCATTGTCCAGAGGATGCTGCTGCAACAACATGGAGTTCATCATTCTGAGAGAAGACAACAATACAGAAAAGAAATCCTTTGAAGAATTTCTTGAGCGAAGGGCTCTTGCACAGGGACTACTTTCAGTTGTGCATTGACTGGCAACTCCAGAGCCAGTAATCTCAGCTGTCGATCAAACTGGAAAAGCACAAAAGTCTGACTCCCAAACCACCACCAGCGTGTGCAATTCACAGTGCGGGGCTACCAGAGGCCAGAGACATTAAAGTGTCTGCTTCTCCTTCATTACCACAGAGGCACAAAAGCACTGTCTGCCAAAACCCTTGTGAATTCACGTTCACTCCGAAATTGGATGTACCTGCAGACCGATGTGATACAATTAGGACCTGATTATGTGTAAATCAAAGGATGAAAGCCTGACCATGTGGTTGGCTGGCATGTTGTGGTCCTTTGGTAGCCAATCCTTTGCCTCTGGAGATTGTAATTGATTCTCAGGCCCTCCCCTGTGGGAGTGCTGATCTGCTTGTCTCACAAGTTGAAAATGCAAAAGTGTGTCTGGAACTGAACATTTCAATGAGTATCTACATCCGCATTGTACATTTCTCCAAAGACTTTTCAAGTCAAACTTTCAGGTTGAAAAAAGTGGAATGTTCCTGTTGTTACTCTGTAGGTTTGGGGACTTTCAAAGTAAGTCTGAGTGAATACATTCAATTCAATAACATGGATGTATGCTGCTCTACCTTTTGGCAAAATGCTTGATTTAATAATATATTTTATGCTAGGTGTTTATACCAGTTCATTTGTGTGTCTTTGTGGCTTGTGCTAAATTTCTGCCTTTTCTTAAACCTCTTTACAAATCTATGAAATGTTGAACCATTTTAACAATTTAGTTTTGGTTTTCTACTCTGAGCTACTATCCAGAGGTTTGTAGTATCTAGTTACATTTTCTCAGTTACTTTTAGGAGGAGCAATGCTATGTCCTACTTTCTTATTTAAGTAATTATATCTTAGTAAAATATTGACAACCTCACGTGAGTAACATGCTTGGCTGTTGCATCTATTATGAGTCATTTCACTAAATAACAAAAAAGCTTTTTCAAAGAAAAAGTTCTCCAGACAAAGACAAAAGTTAAAATTTAAGTCAAAACGAGTTTCCCTTTTGGTACACACACTTATTTAAACTTACCATGACGTTTAGGGGTAAAGTTAAAATACAGTAAAGAGTAAATATAAACTGCAAGAACTGGTTTCATGAGTTTTATGTTAAGTAAATTGGTTTGGGAAGAAAACAAATTAGTTTATTTAATCATTTTATTATTGCCTTTGATTTGCAAACAGCCTTACATTTTGGTCCATTATTATTACATTATTTCAAATATTGATGTTGAGTAACTAAGTAAATGAGTTATACAGTAATACAGTTTTTACTCATCATTGATTACAGTTTTGTGTATTTTACTGACCTCTGCTAACATCAAACAGTATTCATGCAGACCTGAACAATAAA